AGAGGGTTGCCATGTTGATGACCCGTGTTGCAGCAATTTCCAACAGTGGAATATGTGGCAGTTAGGGGTGAGCAAGCACCTGGATCAAGTTTACTGCTGTCTTAAGAAGAAAGGTAGGGCAGAGAAAAGAAAGTGAAAATCCATGTTGTTGGTGTTGGCTACCCTTGAGTAATTTCTAACTCATAGCAACCCTTTGCAAAACAGAACAAACTTGGCGCTGTACCATCCTCACAAATCTTGTTATATTTCAGCCCATTGCTGCCGCCACTGAGCCAATCCATCTCACTGCAGGTCTTCCTCTTTTTAACTGACTTGCAAGCATGATATTCTTCTCCAGGGACCAGTCCCTCCTGATGATCTGTCCAAAGTGTGTGAGATGAAGTCTTGCCATCCTGGCCTCCAAGGAGCACCACAGCAACCCACAAGCCACCACAGTGGGACAAATGACAGACAAGTAGTGGGCTAACCCACAGTTATCCCGAATTAGAATTCCAGACACATCAGTTGCCACAAAGAAGGAACACTGGAGGGAAGGAGGTAGGTATCTTGCCCTCCTCAATGTCTATGCTTGGAGGTGGCTCTCCATGTGACATCATTGGGCACTGATGTACTCCATTGTCTGAAGCTGGGTATGCCTTGCCAAGTTATCACTGCCCCTGGCACAACCAAATCAGAGGAAGTGGCAGAGAGAGGGCAGCCCAGCAAGCTGAACCAACCCCAGGTTCCAAAGGTGAAACTGGCACCATTGTGCACAAGGCTAGCTGGCTTATCGGTGAGCTGTACAAACGCTCACCCACAGGAAGGGTGGGTGGACAGACAGCCTTCTCCATCTGTGTAAACTTCCACATCCTGGAACCGGGCCATCTCCGTGCCAATCTCTGACCTCCAGTGTTGTTTCTTGGAGCCTTGATTCTCTGGACATGAAGTCACTGTGAACTCTGGTGCTGTGGTGTGGGGTGTCTCTGCCCATTGGGGGACCTTTCTAGGAAGGGTGTTCTGGAGGCGGACCCTGCTGCAGGGTCTCAGGCATGTCCCCCTGGACAGACCTAGGGTCTCCAAGCCCAGGTGACGGTTGGGGCTGTAGCTCGGGCATCATGGGAGGGCAGGCACAGCTGCAGAAATCCTGGCTTTCCCAGGGAAGGTATGGCCAGCCGTATCTCTTAGGCACAAGAAAGCGGTCACTGAGTGTAAATCTCAGCAGGGTTGCTGCTCGGACAGCTGGAGTATCAGAGGTGCCCTGACACTGGACAGCTGAGTCACTCGGCCCCGGAAGTCAGATGGACCTAATGGGAGCTCTTAGTCTTCCAGGCATCAGCAACTCGGGCATTGGAGTTAAGGTGTTGGAGGAGAATATTACAAGTACCATGGACTGCCAAAAGAAGAACAATATGTGTTGGAAGAAGTGCAGCCGGAGTGCTTCTTGGAAGTCAAGATGGACAGATTTTCTCTCATACTTCAGACATATTATCAGGAGGGACCAATCTCTATTTAAGGGAACTGTGCTCGGTAAAATAGAGGGGCCGTGAAGGAGAAGGAAGAACTCCAACAAGATGGACGGGCACAGTGGTCCCTACAATGGGCTCAAACACAACAAAGACTGTGAGGTTCATGCAGGACCGGCGTGCCATTCACTTATTGTTGTTGTTGTTATGTGCCATCGAGTCGGTTCCGACCCATAGCGACCCTGTATAGGGTTTCCGAGGGTGTAAATCTTTACGGGAGTAGAAAGCCTCATCTTTCTCCCGCGGAGCAGCTGGTAGTTTCGAACCGCTGACCTTAAGGTTCGCAGCCCAATTCGTAACCACTACGCTACCAGAGCTCCTTATTAGTTGGCACCAACTCAATGACACCTAGCAACAATAACAACCTTGCATCCCCAGGTGCCCTGGTGGCACTGTGGGATAAGCACTGGACTGCAAGCCACAAGGTCAGCAGTTCAAACCTACCAATCGCTCCACAGATGAAAGATGAGGCTTTCAATTCTTGTAAAGAGTTACCGCCTGGGGAACCTATACAGGGCTGCTGTGAGTTCGCGCCGATTCGTTGGCAGCAGATTTGGGGCTTAACCTTGTACCCAATAATGTTACTGGACTCTCCCATTATTTCATAGGAAAGAGCCATATGTTCCAGTGGCTATGCCATCTGTGTGATCGCATTGCCTTAAATCAGGACAGTTTTCTCTCTCTCCAATGCTGGCATTTATCATTTCTTTCCTGGTTCTGTGGCACCGCAACCGTGAAGGCTAAAAGCAGTCAAGGCCGATGTCCCCAGCTTTACGCCGACGTGAAGTCTGAAACCTCACAGCTGGGCCTGTTGTTTTGACAGATATGTTTCCTTGTAGTCTTACTTTAAGGAGCTCTGATAGCGTAGTGGTTACGAATCGGACTACTAACCGCAGGGTCGGCAGTTTGAAACTACCAGCTGTTCCGCGGCAGAAACATGAGGCTTTCTGTGCCTGTGAAGATTTACAGTCTTGGAAACCCTGTACAGGGTCGCTATGAGTCGGAACCGACTCCACGGCACATAACCACCTCCACCAGACTTACTTTGCTTTAAAAATCAAGACAAACCATTTAGTTTTACAAGATGCTTGTCTGCATCTACTAAGAAATTGACAGGGTTGTTCGCTAACCTGCCATAGTTGAGAGTTACAAGGCAGGACGCCCACCAGCAAGCACCCACCAGTTCCAACTCACAGTGACCCTAAATAAGGTTTCCAAGGAGCAATCAATGGGTTTGAAGCGCTGACCTTGCTGTTAACTGTCCAGTGCTTACCCTACAACGCTACACTGATTCTGACTGTTCTTGTTAAGTGCCATGGACTTGGCTCTGATTCACAGCAACACTGAATAGGGTTTCCAAGGACCACAGACCTTACAGTTAGCAGTCCAGTGCTTATCCTACAGCACCACACCAGGACTCCCAAAATATATGATGTCAAGTCAAAAAGTATTGACTTTTGCTTTTGTTTTTCTTTAAAAAAAAAAGATGATTTTGTAAAATCATTTAGAAACCTTTATTAAACAAAAGTAACAGATCTGAAGCTATTGTTTGAACCACAGGCTTGTTGATCGTTAGCAGTCCAGAGCTGATCATGAACCAGGACTACACTCAGTAAATGAGTCTGACTCCCTCTTCTGTTCACATATGGGTATTGCATGCTGTGGCCTCTTGCTAAGTAGGAGTCAGTCGTACACATAGCCACCTTGTATAGGGTTACCAAGGAGCAGACAGTGAGCCTGAACTGCTGACCTTGGGGTTCAAACTGACCTTGCAATCCAGCACATTAACCTGCAATTGTAGTCATTTTCTGATTTTGCATCTGACAACATTCCAGTGCTGTTCATTCTCTGGCACTGTATCTGACAATGTTCCGATACCACACATAAACTTTTCCATAGCTACATACTCATCCACCACTCATCTGTTTGTCACACGATGGTGGTTTGTGTGGTGATATAACGCTCGGAGCTGTGATACTGGTTTTAAATACCAGCAGGGTCAACCATAAGGAGCTCTGGGAGTATAGTGGTTATGAATCGGGCTGCAGTTCGAAACTACCAGCTGTTCTGCGGGAGAATGATGAGGCTTTCTGTTCCTGTAAAGATTTACAGCCTTGGAAACCCTACGCAGGGTCGTTATGAGTCAGAACCAACTCCAGAGCTCATAATCGCCACCACCATGGTGGACAGGCTTCAGATGAGCTTACAGACTAAGAAAGTCTAGGAAAGAGAGACGGATTACTTCTGAATATTTAGTCACTGAAAACCTTATGAATACAAAACACTGTCAGCACCAGAATACTGAATATCAAAACATGATGAAGAGCACCAGAATATTGTCAGATAGATAGAGTGCTGGAAGATGAGCCCCTCAGGATGGAAGGCACCCAAAATGCAATTGGGAAAGAGCTGCCTCCTCAGAGTAAAGCCCATGGGACCTTCATTTGCTGATGGGGCACAACTCAAAATGAGGAGAAACAGCTGGAAACATCCATTAATAATTGGAATGGGAAATGCACGAAGTAAGAATCTAAGAAAAGTAGAAGTTGTCAAAATGAGGTGGAAGGCATTAGTTCGGACATATTGTCAGGAGGGACCAGTTTCTGGAGAAGGATATCATGTTTGGTAAGATGAAGGGTCAGAGAAAAAGAGGAAGACCCCAGCAAGATGGACCGGTAAAGTGGCAGCATCAATGGGCTCAAGCGTGGCAACAATTGTGAGGTTGGCCCAGGATCGGGCAGTGTTTCGTTCTGCTGTGCATAAGGTCACTATGGGTCGGTACCAACTCGATGGCACCTGACAACAATGAGCTGAAATGAACTGGTATTGACCATTTTGAATCTGACAATCATACGGTTTACTATGCCAGGAATGACCAATTGAAGAGGGATGGTGTTGCATTCATCAACAAAAAGAATATTTCAAGATCTCTCTTGAAGTACAAGGTTGTCAGGGTAATATCCGCACAGAAGAAGACATCACTATTATTTAAATCTACACACCAACTACTAAAGCAAAGGATGATGAAACTGAAGAATCCTACCATCTTCTTTACATGGACATTGCTTCCTGGAAAGGTTCTCTCTGATGGTCCACCTAAGGCTTCCCACAAACCAGGGACAGGACAGGTCTTTCTGGATGGGGCTAAGGGAAGGTGGCTACTTCCCTCATATGTGATATTTGCAAAGGTCAGGCCCACCTATGTCCCCTTGGTCCTGGGAAGATTGTCCACTCTATCCTGTGCCCAGGAATCTCCTGCACCTGCCCCCATCCACCACACAGGAGCACCCTCCACCCAGACCCCCGCTCATGGCGCCAACTCAAACCACACCAAGGCAGCGTCTCTAGTTGAATTTAATATTGGGAAGAAAAGGAGAGAACAAATGCTCAGAAAATAAATATCTGCAAAGGGCCAGCCAAGTCAAAAGACCAGGAAGCTCAGCGGATCAGCGGATGGGGAGGGTACAGCGGGTTGGAGGGGTCTGCATGCTTTTCCACTCAGGGACTTCTAGGCAGTAGGACCCTGGGGTGGGAACGGCGGGCACGGTTTCGCGGGAGCTCGCAGGAGGTGTCCTGGCATAGACAGCTCTCAATGTGGGTGTAGCTGTGTTCCAGGGTGCCACCATTGGGGCAGTTGAGCACCACCTCACGCTGGCTGGTCCGCTCCTCCTTGCAGCAAGAACACTTGTGATCCAGAGACTGGGCCTCAGACGAATACCTGGGGAGGAGGAGAGGGGTGAGGAACGCTCCCTCCTAGGAGCCTCAGACCCCCACAATGCCCCAAGCAAGAGAAGAGTGTGCTGGCAACTTCCACAGCCCCGACGGCACTGGGACTCACATGGCAAAGGTTCCACAGGATCCCAGGCAGTTGTTCATAACAACCTCCTTGGTGCAGCCGGCATACGTGATATTCTTTTTAACAGGAATGGTGGAGCAGGGGATCCTGGTCTCATTGCGAGGGATACCTGCAGGATCATGGGGTAGGATTCTGAAGTCAGACAGACTCTCCCTCGCTGTTGCATGTTGGGTCCTAGGGTGGGATGCTCTCTGCCCCAAGTAGGTCACCAATGGCCACTGTCCCAGGAGACAAGTACCCCCTCCAACTGCCTGCTGCCAAATTAAATTCTGCCCTGCTCCTCCCTTGGTGGGGGAAGAGCTCCCTGGGCACCTCAGTTCCACCCTCTTAGCATCCCAATGTGGCCAGGAGGCACGGAGGGTACGGGGGTGCCTCTGACCCATCAAAGGGACGGGGGTTGAGCCCACCTGCCCTCCCACCCAGAGTGGTACTCACATTTCTTGCAGCAGCCATTGGGCATGAGTGTGATGGAGCCCTGGAGGAAGCGAGGGATGAGAAAGAACCATGATGCCCAGTGCCCCCAGCACTAAAGGGCGTGTTCCCCCTGCTGTCTCCTGCTTGGGGGAACCCCCAGGCACCCCAGACAGACTGCTCACCGGGAGGCATTCGCTGGGGTCGAAGTCGGGGCAGGTGATGTTGGAGACAGACGAGATGAGCTGGTTGTGGATTTTCACACAACTGAAGAAGGTGCAGTTGTTCTTGGGGTCGCTCTTCATGTCTCCAGGCTGGGAGGGCAAAGAGAGAGAGAGTGTGAGGAGAAGCAGGCAGGTCTCCCAGGGGTCCCGTGACCCTGGGCCACAGACCAGAGCTAAGTTCAGCATCTCTAGTAGGACAGGGCTGTGGGCCCCAGGCCTGAGGTAAGTGACTCCCCCATGGGGCTCCAAAGATAGGAACCAGCCCATAATGTACCCCAAAGACCATGTGTACATCCTAACCCCCAGAGTCTGGGAATGGGACCCTGATTGGAAAAGGGGTGCTTGCAGATGTAAGTAAGTTAATTAAGACCTCGTGATGAGATCATCACTGGTTACCCAAGCGGACCTTAATCCAGTGACCAGTGAGTACCCTAATAAGATGCCCAAGAAGAGCCGCTGGGCAGCGAGGAAGAACGCCCTGCCCACACCTTAATGGCGGACTTCTGGCCTCCAGCTGGTGAGGAAATGCGTGTGTTATTCAGAGCTACCCCGTTTGTGGTACTTTGCTATGACCCTCCAGGCATCTCATTCACAGCCTTTCCGGAGCTGTGCGAAGCTGGGTTCATACCTAGCCCTGCCCTTGTTCCCGGAGTCCGGAAGTGAGCGAGAAGCCCCGCCCATGGCCCCGCCCACGTCCTCGGCCCCGCCCACCTTCAGGATGAGGGTCTCCTCCTGGGGCCGGTTGATGACGCAGTGGGTCTGTTCACACTTCTTGCAGCACTCACCCGGGGCTTCCACTAGCTCGAAGCCCTAGGAACACACACGACCAGGCGCTGAGACCCACGAGCTCTTGGACCCACTCTCCCAGCACGTAGCTCGGGGTAGCCCTTGGTGGCCCCAGGCAGGAGGCGGAGGGGAACCGTGGGGACGGGCTGTGGTCGGGTCGCTCACAGCAATGAGCTTAGGGGGAGGGGCGCTTACGGGGTTGCACTTGGTGTTGCAGGGCACGTGGGTGCAGGAGACAATGTGAAGCTGAGTCTTGTTGTCCACAGCGTGTGTACAAACGCAGTTCTCACATTTGGAAGCGTACACTGGAGAGCCGGGCTTTGGGGGGTAGGATAGATGGTGAAATGGGGTCCCAACCCACTCAGAACCTCTGACCTCTGTGACGTAGCCCCAGGAACCCCAACCTTACCACCCCACCTCTACCCCATCCCGTGCCCCGCCTCCACACCCTAGGGCTCACCTGGTACTCAGCAGTTCCAACAACACACACGCCCTTGGGCACTTGGGAAAAAATGATGATAAAATGGGTCAGAGACAGAGCCAGGCCGGTGCCCACAGACACTGAACCCCTCCCCAAATGCCATTCCGTTCACCCTGAGCCCGTGGGCTGATCCTGGTGGTAACCCTCAGACCCCTTCCCCACACACATCCGGAATGGCAGCGCACACTCACCACATGAGTAGAGGGGGCAACACCTTCCCGGAACCGTCTGGGTCTTCACCTCGAATCCCCGTGAACACACAGGGGGCACTTCCTGACACAGGCTGGTGTTACACTCTGGGAGTGGGTGGGTGAGGGATACAAGAACCAATGTGGTAACTCTTCCGGGGCCTCAACACATGCCCCCCCAGGCTGGCTGTGATCCTACAATCCTCCTCCAACACCCTAGTGTCAGCCTTCCAAAGGGGCTGTCCTGAGACCCCAGCCACCAGCCTCAGGCCCTACAAGGCCCTTCAGGTACCACCCCACCCTCACCAGTCCCCGGAAGTGCCACTCCAGGGTCCATGAGGGACTTGCAGGTAACAGCATGCAGCCCAGCTTGCAAAGGCCTGCTCAGTGGTCTACCCTAGTGGGCCCCACGAGGAGCCCCTACCCCCCGGGGTATCCCTTACTGCAGGAGGTGATGTTGCAACACGTGTCAGCTGGATTGACTTCGATCATCAGGTAGGTGCCGTCCTCCTCACACCTGGTGGGTGGACGCTGGTTGCACTTCTTGGGCTGACAGACGATGCCACGTCCTCCCTCCAGGCAGACACAGTCTTTGCAGTCGAACTCAAAATGTTCCCCAAACTGCAGGAAAAAACAGACAACCTCTGTGGTCAGCTGCACTGGACAGCCACTGAGAGGCCTTGTGGGAAACTTGTGCCCCTCACCACCTCCAGGCAGTAGGGGACAACAGCTGTCTATCCAGGACACTGGACACTAGCATCATCCATCTGTGGCCATCACCGAGGTGGGCCAGCTCTGACCTGGCAGGTGATAGGTGCACCCCACAAATCTGGTGGGGTCATGCGGGATTGAGCGAACAAATCAATTGCATACTCAGTGACCACATGTAAGGGCACACAGAAACCCCTAGGATAGTCAAGGTGTCATCTTTAGTTTGGACAGTGTCACTAGCTAATGGTGGTGGGTGGGTGGATGGAGAATTCATGGGTCAGTTGGGGCAGTGGCTAGGTGACCGTGTGGTAAGCAGAAGGAACAGTAAATGAATGGATGCGTGGCTAGATGAATAGCTGAGTGATGAATGGATGCATGGATGGGTAGGTGGGTGGATGGATGGATGAAGGATGAGTGGGTGGGTAGGTGGGTGGACATCCCTCATAACCCAGCTGAACAAAACCTTGGTAATCTGTTACTAAGTTTGAGGCAGATAATCATGTCATCTCTCCCTTCACCCCACCCCAGACCCCAAGATTCATGATATGCGGAGAATCCCGCCCAGGATCAATCAGGAGCTTACCTCTCTGGGCACGTTGTCTGGTCCCACACAACCTATAATGAGGGAAGAAATAGATTTGGTTATCAGCGTCCCGGGCCCTCCCCCGCAAGGAAGCTGGTCACTCTCATTAGCCCGTGTCATGTGAGCAGGTGGTAGGAGAGAGGGAGGCAAAGCCAGTGGGCAGCCTACCGCACATATCCACGCAAACGTCATAGCCTGGAGCGTAGTTGGTGGTACCCTCAGGACAGAAGCAACCTTCCACCAGGATCGTGGTGTTCTGCTGAGGGGGACTGAGATGGAGCGCGTTGTCAGATGGGTGCACAGACAGGGTGGACCGCCTCGCCCTGCCCACCTCATCCCCGCGGCCCAGAAAGCGGCCCACCTGGACTTGCAGGTAGGCTCCTCCGCAGGCCCGCAGGCCCGGTACTCCCGGTGGGACGGGCAGGTCACCTCTGCGGAGAGACAAGGTATCAGGGGGTAGGGCCAGCGCAGTAACCTGGGCTCTGAGTGACAGTCCCACTAGCCCCGCCCCCCGTGGCTGTGCTCTTCTGGTCGCCAGCTCTCTGGCCTGGTTTCCCAGCGGGCGGGAGTCCACTCACGGCAGGTTCCGTGGGTGTGGTTGCGCCAGTCCACGCAGATGCCCTCCTGTGCACAGAGGGCCGCGTAGGTCTGCAGGCTGGCGCACTCCATGCCCGAGTTCGGCACGAAGCAGCTGTCAAACACGCAGGCGTCATAGTAGTGTTGCGGGGGCGCCAGGGCGTGGCACTTGGAGAACAGGCTGCGGGAGGGCGTGGTTCAGGTTCAGCAGCGGCGACCCTGCCCCTCTCCCCCCACCCACAGACACCTGGCGCTATGAGGAACCATCCCCATACTAGTCTGACTCTCTGGGTCTGCCAGAGAGAGGTAGAAACAGAGAGCCTCAGAGATGGAAACAGCTCTCCACAACCACCACCGGGTGCCGGACCCCCAGAGACCCAGCCAGCCTCTGAGGACATGAGCCCAAGTGGATGCCCCAGCCTGCCTCCTACCCATGCATCCTGAACTTAACTCTGGTCTCCCCCATACCTCAAGCCAGCTACCCCTTGCCTTCTCAAGGGGCAGGTGACCCAACGCACGCCCTGCACATCCCATCCCCCCATAAGAGAGGGTGCTGAGGTGGGCTTTGCCACAACGCTGCTGCTCACCTGCCTTTGATGAGGTCGCAGAGAGGGGATGGGTTACAGGACGTGTTGCCCCCTGGCTGGGTGACAGCTGGGCGCTTGGTGGTGGTGGTGGCGGTGTGGGGGCAGTGCGGCTTGGACGGGTCATTAACCACCCAGTCGTCAGCTGCGATCTCACAGTCAGAAATGATCTCCCCGCTGGGCCGCATACAGTCATCCTCAGTGGTGTTAGTGCAAGTACCTGAGGGCCAGGAGACCACCGTGAGCACGCCCGGCCCCCCAGCCGAGGGGACCACACACCCACACACATACACACAACACACATGTTCACCCACACTCACAGACCCGCCCTGGGCTCAGGCTCCCAGCTCACCACACTGCCCCTTGGTGTTGTTGCCAAACAGGTGGAAGGGCAGCTTGATGGAGAAGGAAAGGCCGTTGTATGAGATAAGGGCACCCAGCTCGGGGATGTCCACCATGTAGTTGATGCCTGACTCATACACCTGTAGCCCATACTTCTTATATGGTAGTGCCACCACCTGCCTGTTGACATGCACCTGCAGCCAGACAGATGGACACACAGGGTCAGAAGACAGCCAGCAGCACCCGGAAAGGAGCCACATCAACTGAGCGGGCACCCCACCCCCACCCCCTCTCCACCCTCACCACCCACTCCTGGTCCCTTCGAGCTTCTTTTACAGTGGGTCCAGGGGTGAGTCAGTGGGGGGGGGCTCTTCCCTAGAAACTCCCAGAACTTGGGGCCCCTGGACACCCACAATTAAGACGAAAAAGATTCATTAGTATCTCCGGAAATATGTCCACAGAGTGGGCAGGGGCAGGTGAGCCTACCTGGACGGTCCTAGCCCTCCCCCCACCTCTGTGAAGCCTTGCCGCCCAGCTGTGCCACGTACCTGCATCTTCATGGGCATCATTTGCACTGTCTTAATCAGCACCTCCTGCGTCTCATGGCGCACAATGATGGTACGAGGGCAGGAGACTTTGTCATTGACATCGCAGTGGTAGTTGTCGATGTAGACACCAAAGTTGTCCACCTTGGGGCTAATCTCTTCCACCAACACATACGTGCAGTTGCCTTGGTAGCTGTAGTAGAGGCCATCAAAGGTGACGAAGTGCGGGTCCCCCCAGCCTGTGCAGTAGCCTGGGGAGGGAGCGCCAGTCACATGGCAGCACCAGCCGGGCATCCAGGCTCCTGGATCCCAGGTTGGGACTCAGGGCCTAGAGCCTGGTCAAGCCCCATTGGGTCCACTTCTGGCCCAGGAAGGGCGCCTTATGATAGAGTACCCTGCAGGCATGGGCGGAGGACACTCTGATCTCAGGTCCTGGAGGCTCAAACCCAGGTTCCAGCCCTTCCCAACCTCAGGGCACCTTCACCCATGACCAAAGACATAGTGTGTAAACAAGGGAACCCATGACAAGCCCTTCGGACCATGCCTGGCCTTGGCAGACACCCTACCCTTGGGGAGTATCAGGTCTGACTGGAGTCTATGTTCGAGAAGCCATAACCATCCCCTCTCAGAGCCCCACCACCATCACCACCACCACCACCAAAGAGAAGGGTGGTGGATGGTCACAGGGGGTACTCACAGTCACACTCCCAGTGCCAGCAGCAGCCATCGGGGTCCATGACACGCACAGGCGTGAGGCCGTTGGAGCAAGTGGGCATGGGCGGGGGTTTGCACTCCACCTCCACGATCTCCACTGTGTTGTCATGCTTGCAGATGGCCATGGTGCAATTACAGAGCCACCATGTCTCATTCTCCTGCAACAGCGGAAGGCAAAGGGTCACATGGCTCCTGAGCCACCCCGTCAACCCTACTCTGGCAGTTCTGTACCCGAGGAAGAAACACCCACCCACCACCTACTGACCTGTCGGGGAGGGTCAAAGTCAGGGCATGCAGGGGGCTTGGTAGTCGGCATGGGTGTGGACGTGGTGGATGTAGGTGTTGACTTAGAGGGTGTAGGGGTTGATGATGGTGTGGATGGGGTGGATGGAGTGGAGGTGGGTGTTGACATGGAAGGCGTGGTGGTCGGTGGTGGTGTGGACGGGCAAGACCAGTTGAAGACCTCCAAGGTACATTGCAGAGAGCAGTTCACATAATAGCAGAAACCGCCATGTATGCCGTTGTATACTTCCTCACCTAAGGAGGAGCAGAGAGGCCGGTGTACACCCTCAAGGGTCCCCAGAGGAAGGTCCACCCTGCCTGTTCTGGGTGCCTGGAGCTTGACTGTAACCCCGACAGAGCAAGAAAACACACACACACAAGCTTGTGGCCAAGAGCTGATGACCCTTCCTCCTCCTCTCCTCCTGTCCTTTTGTCCCTAGGATCCCATGGCTTCACCATAAGGCATGAAGGCATTCTGAGCAATCTGACCTTGTCACCATCTCAAGGCCCCCCTTACCAGTCCCCTAACTGCAGTCCTGGGGTCTCTGACCCACTTCAACTTCTTCCCCCTTCCCTATTCTTCCTTTCAGCTCCCCATTGAATAAAGGTCATCCTTGCTCTAACACGGTCCAATCTACCTGTTCTTTGGCACCTCATCACTCCTCCCTCTGACCTGAGGTCAAGCAGGGCCTGGACCTGGAGGAGTCCTGGCCCCCATCACTAGGTTTCAGATTTCCTAGGACCTTCAAGTGGATTCCTATCCAACTGGAAAAAGGAGGCAGCAACCCACCCACATGAGTTACCAGAATACCTGGGCTGTAGTACGTGCCGTTCAAATAGCAGCAGGCGATCTGGCTAGAGGCGCTGACCTCTGAGCCGGTGCTGATACTGATGCTAGGTGTGGCAATGGGGGTGGACGTGGGCACGCTGGGTGTCTCCATGGTGGTGGTCATGGTGGAGGTTGTGGTCTCCGGAGTTGGCGTCTCCGTGGTAGTGGTGGTGGTGGTAGTGGTGGGGGTTGTGATCTCTGCTGTGGTGCTGATGGTGGGAGTCATGGTCTCTGGTGTGCTGATGGTGGGTGTTGGGGTTGGCATCTCTGTAGTGGTGGTGGTGGTAGTAGTGGGGGTCGTGGTCTCTGCTGTGGTGCTGATAGTGGCTGTTGGAGTTGGTGTCTCTGTGGTGGTGGGAGTTGGTGTCTCTGTGGTGGTGGGAGTTGGTGTCTCCGTGGTGGTGGGAATTGGTGTCTCTGTGGTGGTGGTTGTAGTAGGGGTTGTGGATTCTGGGGTTGGTGTCTCCGTGGTGGTGGTGGTGGTGGGAGTTGGTGTCTCTGTG